GAACTTCTGATCCCACTCATCAATGTCAGTGGTCTTACGGCGCGAGTCGTCGTCATCACCGGTGCTGGGGGGGTCGCCTTTGTGGTGCTCGCACCACTCAATGACCTTCCTCAGGACAGCTTCATTGACCTACGGAGCCGAATGTTAAGTTTTGTTTGATACATGGTGGGAATAGGTGGGGAGGGGGGGTAGGGATAACATACATTAGGGATAGGGATGGCTTCAACAGTATCACCAAGGTCCTCGAGCATGTTCTTAATCAAAACAGAGCGTTCGGCAACATCGCGGGCTAAAGTAGGCAGCATAGGTCAGACTTCAAATCCAGCAGAAAATGATTAAGGTGACAGGGAAGTGGGGAGCGTGTACTAACCGATAGTGATCTGAACCCCATCGTTGCTCTCGAAAGTGAGCATTGTTGCAGACATTGTGAAATTCTGTTGAAGGGTATTCGCGGGGCTAGAATGAATAAGTATAGGTTAGGATATGTTACTCGTCAGGCGCAAGGATATAAACCTGCTCTGAGGGGTACTCAAGTGGGGGTTCGTTGCTGCTTACAATCCGGAATTGTTTTTGATGAGGTGAGGGTGAGTCTCGGATGGAAGCTGGAGGAAACAGAGGTGGGAAGTCGAGGGTATAAATAGACGAAAGGGGCTTCGTGGTAAGTGAAGGCAGGAAACGTTTGATATTTAGTGCGTCAAAGTGAGTTGTGTAGGAGGAGGAGAAGCTCGAACTGGAGATCAAAGGGACCGACGTTGTGAAAGGGCAGATGGCTGACTGAGGCTGATGACTGGTCTTACTAGTTTGAGGGGGCGGGAAATCTCCGTCATCATTCGCTGCTGTGACGCCCCACTTACGCGGTTGCCGCCTGTGGCTGCCTGGTGAATGCCTTGATTATGCTATCTTTTTCGTGCCTTGGTGCCTGGATGAGGCTGTGCTGTCCAAAAAACAACGAATTGTACAAACGTTCACATAAGAACACCGTCAAATCAACAAACACGATCTTGAATGCATTGTGCCTTGTGATTTTACCAAAAGAGTGTCATAGCATACAACACTTGTACACTTGGTCCTCGATCTCCAAGGATTTGTTCTTTATTCAATCCCAGTGGCATCTGTTCCATTCAACAACTCTGGGTGTTAGTGGGAATCTTTCCACGGAGAGTACTGTACTTACTGTACAGTACCATACATCCTCAACCGATCAAGAAGAAAGCGATTCATCTCATTTGAACCAAGACAAACGTCTCTCAAAGGACCAGAGCATACGGAGTACTGTACATACAACTCAATCCCTCCCCCTCCCTCTTGTCGGATCGAAGCCCTACACAGCCATTGATTTCTTTGAACAAAATCAATCATACTGAACCAAATTTGACTGCAACGGGATGAATCCTGAGGGTGTCAGAGAACAATCAGAACAACGACGCATCCACTACTCCGTACAGTGGACGGTCAACCAGGATATTCCATACATCTCCCTCTCCGTAGCCAGAGTTCAGCTAGCTACCAAGCTCTCTCGTTTGCCCCACCCCCAGCATTGTTGCTCTAGCGGCGCAGGGGGCTCCTTTCACCCCCAAAACGAAGAGGGTGAAAAAAAAGAAGAAAAAAAAAAAAAAAAAAAAAAAAAAAAAAAAAAAGAACGTCGAAAATGCTGTACTAATATATAGTCCTCGTCGCTCAATGCAATGATATCACCCAACAACGCGTCGCCGGGTAGCACCCCGTCAAACCCGATCCTCTACCCTCACTCCCTGACCGGAATTTTATCTTATTAACTCTCCTTCCTCTTGTCTCCCTCCTTCCTTCGTTTCGCGCTTATGCCTAAGACCGTCGTTCCTTGATCTGTTCTGTTCTTCTGTTCCTTTATCTCATTCTTCAGGTACCTGAACTCTCCGTAGGCATGTACCATACTTTCCGCTGGACTTGCTTGACCTTCGTTACCTTCTAAATCTCCCGCACATCCTACAGAGTCATGTGGTGGCGGCGAACATATTTATTGCTGTTGGTAATCCGGGTATATTTTGCGCTGTCACCAAGCTATCTACACCCAGATGAAAACTTCCAAGGTCCTGAGGTCTTTGCAGGTATGTTTCTAGTTTCTAGCATATTAGCAATCGGATCCGCCGGCTCTCCAACGCTCACAAATGCTCTACCTGCGATACGGTTTTCACCAATAATTCGCTACTCCTTCGGCCGCATACACTTACCAGTCACTTCATAGGTCGGATTCTCGCCTATCCATCTCATTCACCTTGGGAATTCACTGCAGATAAGCCGATCCGTAGCGTCTTCCCACTATGGCCGATCTACGAGGTGCCAATGAATTTCCTGAAATGGTTCTATACGGAAACTGGAACCCAAGCCCCTCCTCCACAGCTAGTATACTATGTGCTGCGCGGGGTGATGTTTCTACTTAGCTTTGTCTTAGAAGACTGGGCTGTATATGAACTGGTGCCCTGGCCGCGCCATCGCCGCGCGACGGTGGTGCTGGTGGCATCTTCGTATGTCACCTGGACATATCAGACGCACACCTTCTCAAACTCACTCGAGACCCTCTTGGTGACCTGGAGTTTAGTTTTGATTCGTCGCATTGCTGAAAATAAGGTTGGCACATCCAGTTGAGCTGAAATCATAGAAAAAAACTCCGTGGCTAAGTCTGTTGACAGCGACATTCCTCCCTTTTTTCTTGCGCTGTGTTGTCGTTGATCGCAATCATCGGTGTATTCAACAGAATCACCTTTCCTGCCTTTGTGCTCGTTCCAGGGCTCTATCTCCTCCCTCATCTTTGGCGCAGGTAAGTTTCTATGCCTCATACTATAACTTGTAGGTTCACAATGTTGACCGTCAATGATAGGCCTTCAGCTTTCCTTTCAATAGTTGGATTTGGCCTAGGCTTTTTCTGCCTCGCCGTCTTGGTTGATACGAAGTTCTACAGCTCACCTGCGACTTTCTGGGAAGCCCTTCACAGTCCCGTCATTACCCCGATCAACAATTTGCTTTATAACTCCGACAAGTCTAATCTAGCGCTTCATGGACTCCACCCTCGATACCACCACTTCCTAGTGAATCTACCACAACTACTAGGCCCGGCATATATAGCCATGATCTTGTCACTATTCAACTTCTCGGCCGTTCCATTCTGGCTTAGGGATATGCGCGCAATCTCAGCCATCTCGGCAACTGCCATGCTTTCAATATTCCCTCACCAAGAACCCAGATTCCTGCTTCCTTGTGTCCCCCTTCTCCTCAGTTGTTTGCGCATACGCAACACCCGGAATTCTCGGCGGTTTCTAGCCGCCTGGGCCATCTTCAATGCTATCCTAGGGTTCCTCATGGGAGTGTACCATCAAGGAGGAGTTGTGCCTGCACAGCTCGCGATGCCGTCTATCATCTCAGAAAGCGTACGTGGGTCAAGTCTTGGCTCGCTCAATTCCCAGCTCGAAACAGATGCCACCGTGCTCTGGTGGAAAACGTATTCTCCCCCACGTTGGCTTCTGGGAAATGACACCACCCTTCCAGTAGAAATCCGAACTCGAGACTTGATGGGAATGCCAGGATCAGAAGTGGTTGAAGAACTCGACAAACTGGTGCCCTCATGCTACGAGAAGGAGAAAGCTGAGAGCCAAGGCGTGTCTTCACCCTTGGTGTTCATGGTTGCCCCCAAGTCTGCTACATTCTTAGACCAATTTGTTGCACCTTTGGCCTCGTCATCCGACCCGTCGGATCTGGAGCTGCATGAGCTGTGGCACTGGAGCAATCACCTCAATTTAGATGATCTCGACTTTGGCGACGACGGCATCATGCCGACACTCCAACGAGTGATTGGGAGAAGAGGACTGGCTGTGTGGGGAGCACGGAGAGCTGGATGTGCTTGACTCAAGTCCTGACCACATCAGCTGACACCGATCACCTGGTGCTGGAAGCGATGGTTGTCACGGGTTTGACATCGGCTTACCTCATCGAATCTAAGTTCACCAACTTAACTATTCTTGCTCTTTTGATACTCTCATTACCTTGCTTGTCTCTCCCCCCCCACCCCCCTCTCTTATATCTTCACATGCCAACCTCATAGCGTGCTGTCTCTTTGATCTCCACCATCTTCATGTCTATTAATATCATTCGCCACTATTTCACTACCTTCACCACATACACTGCCTGGGATCCATATGGAACATGTGAGGTAAACATCTTGCGATACAATATACCCTTCTTTTCCCCTTCAAAAAATCATACATATATACCCAGTCTTTTTGCTTTTTTCGGTCTAGCCGCCGGCGGCTCCTACAAGGTTCATCATTCACGACCTAGTCCCTTGCAGTCAATCCTGCAAATACGTTGTTGAGCTCAAGTCGCATTGCTTGACAGCCAGCTCAGAAAGTATCCCGTCCATTTCTGTATATGCTCGTTGTGTGTACCATTTCGCCCACCATACACTATTTTCCAGCGTCGAAACTTTCAATCGATCCAGACCTACCCACTCAGAAGAGCTATCGACGAACCTGACGTAGATCACCAACCCTATTTACATGCCGTGGAACCAAGTATTCGTGATTTCAGGACAAAAATCCCATCCTTCTGAAGCTTCCGGTTGGGTACTGACTACAGGACCAGGACTTTCACGGGTTATCTAAGTGGGCCAATGAAGAGTGGCAGAGAAGACGTATAAGCTTGAGTACGAGCTCCTAGATAGAAGCACGGGAATAATACAAAGACATGCCCAGTGGAGGCGGAGAGAATCAAAACAAGAAAAGAGGAATGAAATGTTACGAGGCATCGGTCGGCTAGGAGGCTTGCACGGGACGGTACGAGCTGCCGGGCAGATATGGGCTTGACCGCGATCTATTCTACATAGTCGCCCTTGTGAGAAATTATTGCAAGAGTATGATAACAGGGACACATCACGACATTCATTATGAGAGAAGATGAGAGATCAATAGGGAAGAGCAGCATCCAGTGATAGGGTGTTCAGCTAGATGGAAACATAAGAATAGGGAGTGGAATCATAGATCATCAGGGTCGTCCGGGTTCTCGAACAGATAATTAGCAGCGAGCTCTTCGTTCTTGTCGCAAGCGAAGTAGGCCTGGATGACGAGATCCCGAGAAAATCCAAGTCGGCAGAGCTGGTAACGAGGTTAGCGGCATTCCTAGTTTTCGGTTTGCTCCTCATCAGAGAACATGAGAGAGTACATACGCGTTCAATGGCGTCCCGTTCCTCTTCTGTGACGTGGATTTGATGCGTGCCGGGGGGGAGAGCCGCGTCATCCTCCTCGCTCAACAATTGGAGAAACTGCTCCTCGTTCTGTCCGATGAGCTGCGCAATTTGAGGATTGCCGGTAGCAACTTGTTGCAGGATAGGCTCGAGCATCTGCGGTTGTTGCTGGACTAGCTGACGAAGTTGCTGGAAGTGAGGGTTGTTCCGGAGGAAATCGAGGCTGGGAAGACCTTCGCCGGACCCAGCTCCCGGGCGGGCACCTCGAGTGCCGCCTTCCTGACCTCCAGCCTGGGCGGCAGCTTCGAACAGGTTAACATGTTCGTCACCAACCGGGGCCGGGGCACTTTCTTCTGCAGGAGACGCGGATGTTTGGGGTGCGCTTGCGGCGGCGACTTGCTGCTGTTGTTCCTCCTGGATGTTATCCGGGATGCCCTGAAGACCTGTCAGCGGACTGTGGAGAAAGCCAGATGGCTCTGGGACGACCTAAAGACTCACGTTCAGGAGGTACTCAATGGCGCGGTCAGGGTTGAAGAAGGCAGCCCTCATTGCACGGTTGATATCGCTTCTTGGGAATCCCATACTTTCCATCTGAGCGACCACTGCCTCGCTTTGCGAGCCACGCAGCAGAGCCGAGGGATCGTTGAAGGCGGGACCGGCGGGCTGAGAAGTTCCCGAGGCGGCGGGAGAGGGAGTTGCGGGAGCTGCCGGTGAAGCAGTGGATGCCGACGGGGCAGGGGCAGCAGGGGCAGCAGGGGCAGCAGGGGCAGCAGGGGCAGCAGGGGCAGCGGGCGTCGAAGCAGCTACTCTTGCAGGGGTGGAGGGGGCCTGTGTAGAAGCGCCGGAGGCAGAAGGCTTGGGCTAAGTGAAGCGCCAAGATTAGCTTGATAGGAGGATAGAGATTGCCATGTACGATAAGCCATACCTTGGACACCATGCACACTATGAAACCTTTCTCCTCAATGCTGTACGACTCGATGGTCTTGTCATCTTGAAGGATCTTTCCTGTTGTGGCAAAATCTGTCAGCTACACTTGTCGAGCGTGTCGTCAGAGGATCGGAGCACGAAGCCGTCGTTCCCAGCAACAATTTCTGCCAAGCATCGTCGAACACTGATGACTGACCTGAATAGATGAGCTTCAACTGGGCAACTTCCCATCCTTTCTCCTGGGAGATTTTTCCCTTCACTTCTCCGACCTAGAAGAGAAAAGGGTTTAGCCCCGCACCGACCTTCACGGGCTTCCATAAATTGAAGCAGGGAACAACCTACCGTCTCCGAGGGTTCTGCATCGATTACAAACTTTTGTTGTTTGAGGTCCTGGAAGAGGAGATACAGGTCAGATTGAAAGTAGGACGATAATGGTGGAGCAAAGAACAGGTACATACCTTGAACGTGAGCTTCATTTTGCGCCACCGAAGGTTGAGAGATGGCTCGACAACGTGGGCGGAGGGGTTATGAGAGAAGACACTTGAAGGACGGGAGGGGGCGTAGTGGGGAGGGGCGACAGAGGGTTGCAGGACTTTAAAGCCTGATAATAGATTGATCAAGAATGGTACAGAGATTTAGGGATCTTGAGTAGGGAAGTAGATGAAGTAGAGGATGAAAAACCTGCGAAAGAAGCAAGGAAGAAGAAGAAGGAGAAGAAGAGGATGAGGATGAGGATGATTGATGACGAAGACGGATCATGAATGGCACCGAAAGAGGGAGAAGGAAGCCCAGAAGGTGGAGGGAGCTGGGAATCCACGATCGGAGGCGGTCAGCACTCGCCGGTACTACTGAGTACTAGTTAGTAGGTAAGTAAGTTACCACGCACCGCCACACTGTTCCCCCCCTCATTTGCCGGCTATGAGTAATCCGAATGGAGTGCCTCAGCCACACTTCAGGACGGTTCAGGTTCCAACTTCCCTTTTCTGCTCCTATGTAACTGTAGGTATGAGTGACTTGAAGTTAACTTATTCATACTACTGACCAGAGTGCATACACATCTATCCAAAAAGGCGATAAACAATACAGATGAACTTCTAAATGAGGGTGTATCAGCTTGTGATTGAAGAACGAAAAGTCCATCCACTAGACCCGCGTATATATTATTCTTTACCCGACTAGAACTACAGGTATATGTATGTTTTCATTCTCATCGGTAAGCTATTTCTACCTAGGTGTACACGAGGACGAAGAAAGTAAAAGAGACATGAACAAATAAATAACAATAAACAAATCTTCTTTCTTCCACTTCCCAATGTCCATCAACCAACCAACCAAGCTGCTAGCCGGCACGCCCCGTCCCGATCACACCTGCAGCTGAACATAATGGTGTTTCTTGTTGTTCACACAGTGTTTCGTCTGTCCTCCGTACACTCACTTTCATTGAGACCAGTGGCGTTGTCCTGTGGCGAGGAAGGCAGCCCTATAGATCTATCGCATGGATGTATCACACCACGGCTGCAGTTGCCGGGAAGAGGGGAAAGAAGAAGACGAGGGAAGAAAAAACAAATTACGGACACCTCGAAAATAATATTCGAGAAGCCAGCTCATACCATTGCACCCTCAAAGCCCATTCAAATTCACGTTTCATCTCTTACCTGGTGGGATTGCTTACCACTTGACTCTCTGCTCCAGGTATCTCGGTTTCCATGTCCATGCACTGATGCTACAACGACAAACGCATCATGGATGAAACGCACCGCCACCCACTTTTTGTTCTCACCTCGGACCCAGAGAGTTCGCTCGCCAGAAAGTGGATGATATGTCATATCTCTAGTCTGCAGCACCAGCGCTAATATTGCGCCCCTCCGTATCCTTTTCTGGAGCCCAGATGGTCGATCCTTCCATTAAAGCCTTTCCCGGAACTCTGGATATCATCCCGGCCGCCTTATACAGGACGCCACTGAATCTTGACAAATCCATTCTAGACCTGTTCCACGCGGCTAAGATACCTCAAGGATGCACTCATCCAGTGCTGTAGCCAGCCATGATTGGGACATCTGGGAGGAAGGTATCCACGCATCTCAGGTTGAGAACCAACCTCTGTCGTCATGAGCATGCCATCTCGGCCTCTAGGACCCAAACGATTGATCTCAGCATGGCATGGCTGTATCAGATGTTGGATGAAGAACTCTTCATAGGAGCATGCACGACTTTCCAGGTTCCCTCTGGTCTTTGGCCCCTCTTTGCTGCTTCAATGCCCGAGCTGAAAAAAAAAAAGGCCTCAGAGACGAAGGCATGCAGCTGGCGAGACTTGCCCTCCACCCCCAACTCCGATCGGGATCACAGTTGGACCCGTGGAATTGGCATCTATCTCTTCGACATCATCGCTGCCAGCCCCTAGTTCGACTTACTAGTGGTAGAACCTATGATCGAGACCATTCGGTATGAACGTCGACCATTATCCGATGTAGTCCTCCTTCTGCAACCCCCCCCCTGTCCCGCTGATCCCTAGGCGTTGCATACGTGACTCTTCTTCGAAAAGTCCATGCATCTGGACTCAATTATCCTCGGGGTTCGACTTTTTCCCAATGCCTTCCTTCTTTAGTTAATCGATTGATTTGCGATCATTCCCGGCTGCTGGGTATTTCCTCCGGTTTGACCCTTGTCTGTCACACCTTGTCCCTCGTTTACCATTTATCAAGTTGATATTGTTATTATTATTATATTTACCATTATCATTATCATTGCCAACTACGGAGTAGTCACGCTCACGATTTCATCCACCTCATTCCTTTTCATATCGAAGATTCACCATCTTCTTCTCTTTTGGTTGTTTCCTCTGTCTTGGAAGTGCCCGTCGTCTTTCCCTGATCATCTGCCAAATCTACCCAGCCTAGAACGACACCATAGCGGTCTTCAGTATCATGAGAGAAGTCTTGAGCGGGCTATGATCTATTGAGTCGCGACCAGTAACTGCCCCTTTCTCTTCCCAGCAATTGTTCAGGTGGCCTTGCTACCTCCTTCGGGCTATAGCCTTGATCGTGTGGAAATCATCACACACGCACACACAAGTCTCAGTCTCGATCTTTTGTCCGTGCAGTCCCAATTTCGATCTCATGTTGCTGAGCATCTTCAGGACTTCTCTGGCCCATATTCTGGGAGGCTTCACCCTGTTCTCAACATTCATCGCCACTGTCTTGGATGGTATCTGTTACAGTTTCTCCAAATCTTTATCATCGCACATTGCCTCGGTCGAGTCAGCTATTGTGAGCTTGAGTGCAATCGACTGTGCAGTGATCACTGCCTTATTATTTCTTTGGGTCAAAGATGTCCGAGCAGAAGTGAGGGCGCAGTGGAGGGGTCACCGGGCTATCCTCTACGGTCTGATCGCCGTCTACCTCTCCATTGCCACCGGTATCACGGCAGGAGGAATCGCCTGGAGTGCAGTTCAGTCCATGACAGGGAAAACGACTGTGACCCACAAGCACCAGACCCTCATGCTAGCCCGCTGTATCATCTGGGCCATCTCCGTTTTGAGCCAAGGAATCCTGGGTGGCTATCTCCTAACCTCACTGACGAAACGTGATGCTGGTGGGGGTCGATGGTCAAGGTCCCTTTCTCAGGAGCTTGAGATTCTTCCCGACCAAGTCAGTGTCGGTGACAAGGACGACGTGGTGAAATCTCCGTCAATCATCCTTGAGTCTCCACGGCCTTCCACTGAGGTGAAAAGAAGCTGCGACATTGTGCCGGAGCTTCAGCCTTCTGCTTCCCGCACAGATTCTCAGAATTCTAATCGTTATTCCGGTCGGACGCTGTACCAACAAGACTCCAAGCAGAGCTCTTTCGACTTGCAGCGAACTCATATGGTAGTTCCTGAGACTACGGTGACTCGTTCCCGAACAGATGACCAGCCTGATAACCCGACTGTCAACCTTTCTAGCATGGAAGAACGGAGTGAGGCCCCTAAGATCCGACGAAGCTACTCCGGGGCCAAAAGATCTTTCGAAGGGTTAATCCGTCAGTCCTCGTCGACTCGATCGTCGCCTGCCACATCTTCCACGCATTTAGCAGCTCCTGCGGCTCCTGGTCGGCCTATTCCTCCGAAGCTGAAGCTCACCGACGAAAGCTTTATCCATCCATTGTTCCGGTCGGATAGTGCATCGCCTCCCCCAACTCCAATGCCAGGAACCACTGTAATCGCCTCACCGGCCGCTGGGCAGACCATCTCGGTGCAGACTTTGAATCGAGTGAGATCGACCCGGTCTCTCCGGTCCCACGTACCCCGAAGTCGATCACCTCTATTTGAGCAAGTGGACCAGCCGCTTGTCGAGCTGGAGCGGAAGTCTGAGTCTTTGGAACGCAGTGGTCGGGAGTCTCCCATGCCCAGCTTCATCATGGCAGCGGATGTGCGAAGCAGTATCACCCGGTACGAGAAAAAATATGACTTGAATGAATCCCCTGACGAGAGCTAGTCAGGCGAGTTCCTGAAGGTCACAAGGAATTGGGACCTGGGTCTGGATGCCTTTCACTTGGTTTTATCATTGTTCTCTTTTGTTAGATATCCTAAATATAGCGTTTGATGTACTTAGCAGTCCATATATATATATATATATATATATATCTATCTATCTATCTCAGTGCATGTCATGCAGCATGAGTTCTTTGAATTAGAGTCTGAGGATGGATGAAGCAAAGGCTTGGAGCAGGCCAGCAGAAAATCAAGGTAAATTAGCGACCGGTAGAAGGATAGCGATATCAGATTTCAGGGCACAGTTCCAGGCGCCACATGATAAGCATGAGTGTTTCGAGTGGCAGTAGCAGTGAGTGTACACATACATACATACGTCTAGGGATAGAAGGGCCTTGGAGAGGCGAAGACATCCCGGATATCAAGTTGACTTCATTGGGATTACAAGGGATTGGGGGAGAGAGTGAGGCACGCCTTAAGTTAATCTTCCCCAACGGATTGTCGATGATTTGTTTATTTCCAGGGGACTATTGCGAGAGGAAGGGTTTCGCACAATTTACTTAGTATCTTCAATTCTTAGGTTGAGGGGTAAACAGAAATAAGTTATAATTTACTGAGTATGTATGTAAATCAGACGGTCAGTGGGGAAGGGGGGAGGAAGGAAATGGCTCCCGAGTCCCTAAAAACCCAACTAACTGACTGCATCTCCCGAGTCTAGTCTTTTTTTCCCCCGAGTGAGTGAGTACCTTTTACCTACTTAACTGAGCAGCTGCAAACATTCAACCTCAGCTTGTCTGTCTTAATATTACTAGGTACTGTACCAGGTTAGGTAGGTAGTAACTTGTCTGTCCGCGTCTTACCTGGTGCAATTGGCCTGCATCTTTTCCCTTTTGCCTCATTCCTCTTTTCATCATCATCATCATCATCTTCATCTTCTTCTTCCTCTTCATCGCTCTTCTGCTCCTCCACCTCCTGCTTGTCTCTGCCTTGCTAGACTATCTCTTTTTTCTTTCTTTTTCTTTGCCAAATTTTTCTCCTTCCCCCCTCCTTCCTTCTTTTCTCTCGTACTTACCACCGTGTTGGAAGTGGCTTATCTTCTCCTTCTCCTTCTCCTTCATTTCTTGACTTCGAACTCTCTGCTAAGTGATCTTTTCGCTTGCTTGGCATCTGGAGATCATCCATAAACTGTCTTCTAGCATTGAGGGAAGCCTAAGGAGATTTTCATACTACAGTACTCCGTACATACTAGCCAACCTTTCCTCTCGGGTGACGCTATTGACTCCGGCCCTCGCTCGCCGACTTTTTTACCTGCATGGAGACGAGTCAAATCTCCTACGATCGGAATCTGTTGATCTCCACGTTCTCTTGAGGCTTGATGACTGCTAAGTTACTGGGTTGATCAGAGGGTCTATATCCGGCGAGTTTGTTCTACCTCCAGCACAGTACAGGCCTTGCAGCGGGCCAACCAAGCGCCGCAGTTGGACGCCCATCGATCCACTTGGCCGAACCTCTTTTTACTTCCCTGATCCTCAACTCACATCAATTGATTCAATCATCATCATCTCCATCTCCATCTCCATTTCCATCTCCATCCCCATCGTCTTCCCCTTCCCCCTCCCCTTCCTCCTCCCCCTCCCCCAATCTCCGTCGCTGTCGCAAATTCCGTGGACTTTTCTTTTTCTTTTCGACTCCGGGGTAAGTTACAAAAAACTTTCTTTTGACCCTGACTTCTATTCGTCGCATTGAACCTCTCGTTCTGCATTGATTTCCAAGTTGCCTTACACTCCTCCCATTCTCATTCTCATTCTCATTCCCATTACCACTCCCGACTCTTGTCCCAGTCCGTTTTGTCGCCTTCTTCCACCTATCTGCCACCGCCACGATCAACTACCCTCAATTGCGCAGTGCATTGTGCTTCCTCTTCAATCAATGGCTGGTGTTGTAAAGCCCTTCAGCCTCTCCCTTCGGACATAGACTTTCTGGCATTGCTCCATGGATCGTCCGCGTCTCCCTTTCCCGATCGCTTCGTTCAATCCATACTACTGATTGTACAATACTCCATGCATCTACCCACTTCCATCCATGCCCGATCTGCTTGCTAAAGACCTCGTGCCGTGTTGTTGCCGGCTGGAATAACTGTTCATCTTCTGTATATGTCTTGTTCCTGGCATTGACTTCCTCCAACTTTCCACAACTGACACATTCTCCCCCCTCCCGGCCAATGCGCTATTGCTTTCCTGTATTTCCTCCTGTCCTTGAATCTTTCCCACTATCTTTTTCCTGGTTCCATTTCTGTCCTCTTCTTCTTCCGCCTCCGCCATCGTCATCACACTCACCTTGCAGTGTTTCCTGCACATTTCTTTCTCATATCATCAAAAACCTTCTCTCCTCGTCATGGTGGATGGATGTCCCATGAAATGTTCACCATCGTAATTTCACCATCACTGCTCTTCATCCTCCTTCTCAAGCAACTTGAGTATTCTCTTTACTCTGACATCCCTATACTTCATCCTTGCTTATTTCCTCTATTCCTGGATGAGTCATATGTCTCATCATTGTGATCTGGTTTTCCTTTCGATTCTCTCCGACGGCCTACTAACATAACCCTTGGTGAAGGACAGCGATGGCGGGAGTTAAGCGGAAAATAGACGCCTCCCAAGGGTCTGCTGCAGCGGTATCAGGTGCTAATTCTACAACATTTGGTGCCGCACATAGCACTACTAGTAAGTCTACAATTGCATGCTACCCAACAGCGCTTCTAACCCGACCCACAGATTCTACCGCTGACGATGCATCTCACGTCCGCGTAACTCGAAGCTTGCGTTCAAGTCGAGATGTGCGTGCTACTCAAAATGATGCTCGTAATCACAGCAACGCTTCTGCCATGAGCGGAAGCAGCAGCAGCGGCACCAACGGCAATCACAGCAACAGCAACAACACTTATAAGCCTAATCCTAATCGCCCATCGCGTATCATCACTCTTAGCACTCGTGTCGCTCGGGCAAACACTGCAGCTCGTGAACGCGAACAGGCAGCACGGGACCAAGCCCTTCGCGAGAACGTAACTCGTGAAACGCGTAACACTCGGACTCGTGCCAGTGCTTCGTTGCCTTCGCAGCCAGCGGAAGGCGTAGTGGCACCTGTGCCTGAAACCCCACGGCATAAACGCGTGAAACGGGGCCCCGCCTTGGAAGAGACACCGAGAACCACGCGGCAATCGGCGCGGCTCAAAGCACATGTTCCATCCACCTCGACAGAGGATGGAATTGCTGATATAGGTCTGATACCGAAGCCTTCTGAATCAAGCCCATTAGCAACCGCTGCTCCAAGTAGCCGTACTCGGAACAAGAGCCGGCAATTCGCAGACAGTTCCAATGAGACCATTCACAGTGGTGCAACCAATTTTATCGTTCCTGCAATCCCTGAGGCTGAATCACCCTCACCCGACCGGACGACCCTCAACCTTGTGGAAGATACGAAGCCTCTCTACGAGGAGCCTCACTTGAGCCCGAAGCTGGCTATTGAGGAATCTCCCAAGGGTACGGTGGTTGAGGACGAGAAGAACGGGATTAGCGAACCAGCAGTTTCTGAAGCTGATGATTCAGTCGATGCTCCAAGCACCCCTAGTCCTCCATCGTCCTGGAAGCGAACATCACCCGGACTTCTACAGCATAACGGAGCTGATTCCGAGAACTTTCTCGAGTCACCCAGCAAAAAACCTAAGCTGGAAGAGGGCGAATCTGATCGTGTTTTGGATCAGCAGTCACAGCCCAATATCAATGGCCTTAACGGCAGGCCTGAATCGGAGTCTCATGTGGAGGCTGGAACTGACTCGAAAGCCGATGGTCAGTCCCGGCATATCACAGAGGAAATTGAGGGCTCGACACCAGAGATTGTTACGGAGCCTACAGCTACTCGAGGTTTCCGCGGTGGTCGGGTTCGGGGCCGAGGGCGAGGGGGCCGCAGCAGGGGAGCCGCGCGCTTTGCAGCTAACAAACGAGGACGAGGCGGTACTCGTAGCGGCCGCGGGCGTGCTGGCCGACAGCTTGACAGGTCAAGTGATGTCGAGCCTGACCGCTCTCCTTCTCCCAGTGCAGCAACTCAGAGACTCCGTGATCGACAGCGTGAGCTGGATAAGGCATTCAAGAAAGTGGCTGCCGCTCAGCGATTGGCTCTGGCAGTGCTGGCGACGCAGTCTGAGAGACGAATCGCCCGAGACAAGAATGCACACAAGGATGTGCCCGAATTTGAGGAAGTTAACCAACAACTACAGGAGCGGCTGCGGCAGAGGAAGAACATACTCCGCAGAGAATTCGAACTTAAAGTGGAGCAAGAAAATCGGTTGTTCCAAGCCTATAGAGAAGTAGTCGAGGAGCGATTCCAGGTAGGTCTCATATGCTAAAGCGTCCAGTCAGCATTCAAGGGAAGCCTACTAATTACAGCAGGCATCCGCTCGCAATATCCGGGAGGAGCATTTGATCGCAAGTCAGGGAGCATACATGACATTTGTAAGAGGCCGACGTGCCGCGGAAGATGATGAGCACACAGAGGTAGGTGGCCTTTATGGTTCTGATACACTCCGTCAAAATGTCTATACATCAATATGTGATATATGCTGATCAACCTCTACAGACGGACGATTCAGAAACGGAGCCCGAGCGGGGGCCAGTTGTGCCACCTGCGCGGGAAGTTTTCAGAGGGTTCAATTCTTCTTACGTTCGGATTCCCTCCGGCGCTGCTGCCTACGAACGGGCCTGGCTTGGCTGGGATGATTTCGTTCAGCGAGCTAAAGTAGGTGAAGACATCGACCCGCAAATGAAGGAAATGTGTGAATCAGGGCCTTTCTCTGGCTTCACTTCGGATGAGATCATCGACATGCTCGTGAAGGCGACTGGGGTAGTGGATGTACGAACAACCACAACAACGGTAGGGGAGATGCAACCCCCGGTTATACACGATGTACGCCCTCGAGCATTATCGGCCCTGGCGGATATCGCAGCCGCCGAAACTCCTCGACCCCCTATCGTGGCTGCTCCCCGATTCCCGCCTGCTCCCCCCCATCGAACCATTCTCCCCCAACCTGCTCTGACGCATGGCCCTCCTGAGCCTCGGGCCTTTGTCCTTCCTCCGCCCACTCCTCAGCGACAACAGCCCCGACGACTGCTCCCTGCCGGTCAGCAAATCCCGCCCATCAATGAGCAACTCGGCCTACCCGATCCATTTGCCTCGATGGGAGGACCGCCTCATCTTCCTCCACCGCCAGGATCGAATTTCCACCGACCTCCGCTTCCTGGTTACTTGACCGGACATCATGCTCCAAGTCTCTATTATCCCCCTCCGCCACCCCCTCCACCCCCTGGACCCCGTCCACCTTACTAAAAGGCGCAGAATCTGTTTCTAGGCGTTCTTTTCCTCAGTCGCGGCGTCATATTTTTGATTTACTGATTATCTTCCTTTCCTGTGCGGATGTGTGACGGCGGCTTTTGGTTTATTTCTTCACTTCCTTGCTTCTTCTTTGAAGTAGATCATATTACCTTGGATTGTCTTGGATTGTGTGGAAATTGGGAATTGGGAATTGGGAATTGGGAACTGGGAACTGGGACTTGGGACTTGGGACTTGCCGAGCGATTTGAAGTTTGTCTTTTTTAGCAGTCACGGAGGATTCCCCTTAGCCGTGTAGTACCGCGTTTGTTCTAATTGACTGGTGATGGTGAAGGGTTGTTGATCTTTCATTGATCCGGATGAATCATGATGGGTCATAATGACTCTGTTTGGCCGTGTTTCGCCGCCTTCAAAACTCCGCCTCCTCCCCTCTCCTCCCGATCGGGTCTAGCCCGGCGGGGCATTCATTTCGGCCTCGAAGCTTTTTATTTCCTCGTGCTTTTCCTTCCCAGTCGCCATCGATTCTAAGGCTGCCATCCTTTGCGAGTCCAACGCTGCAATTTCTTAAGTCGAGCTCAATTGCCCTTCTCGCTGCTATCTCTCGAAGCCTGCAACCTCTTCTTCGAGTGTCTTGCCGCCCCCTCACGAGACAATCCAGACAATCCCACTCGACCGTCAGCCCCGCCTGCGCGCCTATTTTCCCTCCTCGACCCTCCTTCGTCTTCCTGATATTTTGCGATTTCTCTGTCAGACTCAGGGAAGCGTTTCGACTGACTTACTTTCGAACGTCAATACAAGTCATACAGACCTCACCATAACCATCATTCTGATCAGCGAATTCGTGTGCGACTAGACGAAGTAATCATGGCTGTCCGTGCTCAATTCGAGAATTCCAACGAGTAAGATGGACCCGGCCTACGCAGTTGCAACTGCGCACAGCGCCTTGATTATTATATGCCAGTCCTGAGCTTGGAAGATTGCTGACAGTCATAACAGTGTTGGAGTCTTCTCTCGCCTGACCAACTCATACGCCATTGTCGCCATTGGCGCTTCTGAGAACTTTTACAGGTGCGTCTTTCTTAAGTCTTGGCCTGACCGCTTGGCATGGACTTTGTCAACTGACTTCTTACCTAGTGTTTTCGAGGCTGAATTGCAGGATGTTATCCCTATCTGCCACGCTACCATTGCTGGTACTCGCATTGTTGGTCGTTTGACGGCAGGGTATGTCAATCCCGTTTTCGTGGAAGGGGCAAAAACATGGAATCAAATCCTGACGAGAAGAGTCCTACAGAAACCGCAAGGGTCTCCTTGTCCCCACTACTACCACAGACCAAGAGCTTCAGCACCTCCGCAACACACTGCCAGAGTCGGTAAAAATCCAACGGATAGAGGAGCGGCTATCGGCCCTGGGCAACGTTATCTGCTGTAACGACCATGTTGCATTAATTCACCCCGACTTGGAACGTGAGACGGAAGAGATGTAAGCCCCCCATTTCGATTGGTATTTGTCCGTCTGACATCTGCTAAACCGTCGTTTCCTCGTTTTCAGTATTGCCGACGTTCTCGGCGTCGAAGTCTTCCGACAAACCGTGGCCGACAACGTCCTGACCGGCTCCTACATGGCCCTCTCCAACCAGGGCGGTATCGTCCACCCCAAGACCTCCATCCGCGACCAGGATGAGCTCTCCTCCCTGCTACAGGTGCCCCTCGTCGCCGGTAGTGTGAACCGCGGTAGCCCCGTGGTCGGCGCCGGCATGGTCGTCAACGACTGGCTGGCCGTGACGGGTCTGGATACGACGGCGACGGAGCTGAGCGTCATCGAGAGTGTCTTCCGGCTGGGCGAGATGGGTCCCCGTGGTGTCGGACAGGGCACTGCCAACAAGGAGAGCATTGTGGAGAGTTTCTACTAGATTTTTCTTTTCGACGCTTTCCCTCACTGCGATTGTCATGTTGTTTATGAAACCCATCCCCACCCACATCCCAAAATATCCTTACTGTGCCATGACCCTATGAACAAAACACCTTGCGAGTCCCGAGGATTTCTCCAGGTTTCCCAAGACTTTTATCATTTTGTAGAGGTTTGGGGGTAGCCGGAATGCTCCGAGTGAGAACGGTCTTATCATACAAATAATGCACACTCTCTCACGAGAACAGACTAGAGTTGGTTAGCGCGTAGCTAGTAGCCCAGGTACAACAGGCATACGCGATCTGCAAGCGAAAGGTAGAAGGGAAGTGTTAGATATGAGCGACCGGGGTAGCTGGCTAGTCTGCGCATAAAATCCAGGTCAGGAACGGAACGGCACCACGCCATGTGACATGGTGGGAGGGAGAAACCCCCGGGAGTTCAATGTATGAGATAGAACTACCGTAAAAGTAATTCATACGAAAACCAGGTTCCATCCTAAGCTATGGATTTCCTGGATGCTTCAGCTTGTTTGCACATTTTGCTCCCCCCCCCCCCCACCCAAGCTGTGTGATCTGCGAGATGGCAAACTGAATTGAATGTGGCTTCGAGTGAATAGATTGTTATGAAGAGGGTATTCATGTAAGGAGGTGAACACATGATTGAAGTAAACGATGGTCAAGGTCATGAAGAGAAAAACAAGTATTGTTGAAAGGTACAAAAAAGAAAGGGAATATCGCGGGGTGTTTTTAAGACCAGCCAGAAAAGAAAAATGACTATGAAAAAGATAATAAGAAATGAAGAAAGAGAGAGAAAGAAGCAATATAAGAATAATAGTCGTGGATATAGAGAGAGAGAAAGACAGAATAGCGCCCAAGGTCTGCCAACTCCGAAAACACCGATCCGGATGCTGTTGCTATGAAAACGACATGAAAAAAAGATCCATGGCTAATCGGCCGTTCCAACGGAATAGCTGTTAGGCCAACGATTATAGGCCCCGCCGTCCCCATCCCCCCCTTGACATATTGCTATACACGTCCTTCAATCCCAATCTGTGATGTTTGGAACTGTTTCCCTTCCTCTTCGCTGTGACGGTCTTGTTCGAGGAGCGGTGGTGGTGATGGAGGTGGAGGAGGTGCAGGGGGCGGGGTGGGCTCGGCGCTCTCTCCCTTCATGTTGGCATCGTCGCCACTCAAGGTTTGCTGCTTATATTCGTCTTGGTCATCTTCCATGTCGTTTCCAGGGCTCATAGGTGGAGGGGGAGGCGGAGGTGGGGTGGAAGAACGTTGTCGTTTGGAAGAAGACGGCGTGGTGAAATCTGTCGCGCTGCCGTCGCCGGTGGCCATGTCTTCTTCCCTCTTCCGCTTGAGAATCCCTTGCATCTCTCCCGCGGAGAGCATGTTTGTGTCTCCCTCCTGCGCTGGTCCGTCATGGTCGTCTTCATCATCCGACATTCTCACATCAGGATCATCCTCCGCCGGGCCAGCAGCAGTCGCGACGGCTGGTCTCATATGTGCTTCCATTGATTGCCGTTCTGCCCTGCGCTTCTCGTGGGCCCTGTGCTTTACGACAGCCTTGTCGAAGAATTCCTTGCAGAAGTTCTTGACTTTCCTTTGCTGCTTTTCATCGATCTTGGTGGGATCTTCGACACGATTGTTCTTGAAGTCCGAGTTGACAAGTTTCTTAGCAACCTATTATCGGATACTTGGTAAGCATATCGACACAGCATTCACAGACTCGAGACCGGCCTTACATCTTTAGCATAACGTTTCAGATCATCTTTGGGAAGCTTGTGCTTGAACTTGTCTACCACGTACTTGACGTGGGGAAACAGCTGTGATCAGATTAGCTCTGGGCCTTTCCGATCATGTCCGATAGTGTAGGAGCAAGAACGAACCGTGTTTTCGTAAATCTTTTTTCGTTTTTCCTCGCTCAAACTCCGCCACTTCTCCTGGCCCTCGTTCTGGTCTGGGGTTGCCTTGAAGGTTTGTGGGGTGACCGGTGTGCCTGATTTTTCCTTAGGTGTATTCTCCTTGGCATTCATGATACCGTCAATGATATCCTGCAACGCCTTGTCCCGCGATTCCTTCGCTGGCGGGCCTGGTTGAGGCGCGGGCGCGCTCGGGCGTGTCCAAGTCACCTCGCCCCGAGACGAGTAGAAGTATGTTCTTCCGTTAGAATCAGCAGCGAACCATCCCGGAGGAAGGGGGTTGAATTGACGACGGAAGGGCCGAGGTCCGTTGTGCAGGGGACCTCTCGGGATGTGGCCTGCTCGTTGAGCAGCTGGACCGCGAGGTGCGTCGATGGATCTGGACCTTGATCGGGACCGAGATTTGGACCGCCGTCGCTCGTCACGAGTGGTCTCACGGCGCTCGAACTGACTGATCGCCTGCGGAGTGGCATTGGGGTCCCTTTTCATTCGAGGAATGCGGTAGCCTACTTCAAGCGTGGACCAGACCTGTAGCAGTATGGCTGCCTTCTTCTCGACACGCTCATCCCCGCAACCGGTCAAGGGCTGAATGGTCGACTCAATCTTGGAGTCGAGGATCTTGTTCCGAGTCAGACGTGGAAACCTGTCTAGGATATCCAGAATCTGCAAGACCACGTTGAAATCTTCCTTCCACATGCTGAGTTGTGAATTCAGAATCTGATAGCCATGCATTTTGACCACGCGGTTCGAAACCCGCTCATCTTCACAGCGCTGAATGCGACCCAGTAATTTGACAGCAATCCACTTCTCCTTGCACTGCATCAAAGCAGCCATGACTTTAGTGACCCCATTCTCATCCAGAGACTTGGGCTGAACACTGTCCACATACTCTTCATCATCCTCGCCCATCTTCTTCTTGCGCGGCCGCTTCGCAACAGCCGTGTCCCACCCATCTGAATCTTCGATACCCAAGGCCTCAATGGTGGCATGAGATAATTTGGTCGCCCGCTCAGTCTGAGTCCGCCCACCAATGAAGCCAGTGCAGTTGGGTTCTCCACAGTAGCATGGTTGAGGATCGGCTCCATAACGGTCAACATTGTAGTTGAACACAAGTTCCTCTCCAGCTCGGATGTGTCGTTCAGCAAAAATACCCATTCGCAGCTTCTCCCCGACCACCCATTTGTCGACATAACAATTTGGGTTGCATGAGTGATTGCAAAAACGACCCAGGTTGCCTTTCTTTGTCGCGTCAACAAATTCACCTTTACTGAGAGACATGAAGTAAAAGTGCTTGATGCCCTCCTCGTCATATTGTCGCATACGGCGGCGAAACTGCCCTTCGTTGATAACTTCGCCCACATACTCGAAGATGAACTGATGCGGTCGCAAATCGGCCTCCGCGCGAAGACCAAACCCTTTCTTTTCTGTCTTGATCACTGCCACCGGGGCATATTCTCGTTGTTGGAAGCGCTGGTTCTGGCATTCTGGCCCGCAACCGCAGTCGCCCATACATTCAATTTTTGTGGCGCGGTTGATGCAGTCCGAATCCTCTCCACAAGCCAAATTCTTAGCAACCGAGGGATCTGCCTCAAATTAGTGCGTCTTCCTTTTACAACGGCCAAGGATGTAAAGAAATAGCCCTCTCCATATTTTTGCATGGTCTCAACATGGAAGATGAGGGGGGGCAAACGAAAGGCAATGGGTTGGTGTGGTGTGCTTGAGAATTTCTCAACGTGTTTGAAGCGGGGATCCGAGATGCAGCGCCACGCGTGGAAACCGCCCACAGAAACATAAGCAAGGAGAGGCGACAGAACAAAAAAAAGGGTGCAACGAGTATGGTCGGAGGAACGTAGAAACTGAGTACTCACCCCATTCTTCCGCGCAGTCGCATTCCATCGCATGCTCAGTATAGCCCATGTACTTATTGGCATATGTGCAAGCATCCATAACCTCGAAAGTCTCCTGTGCCTGTGCCGTGCTGTCCGGCAACTGTAAAAATAGTTGTGGTGGTCTTGCAGCGACCTTCTGCGAGGAACTGCGTGTCAACTTGGGAGGCTGGCCCGGTTCGAGTTTGACCGAGATGTCACCTCCAACTTTTTCCTCCATGTTGTCTGGATAGGCCGTCTTCGTGGCTTCAAGCTTTGCTTCGTCGCCGATTTGGTTGTGATCGTAATCGTCCTCCGGCTCTTTCGTGACCGGCGATCGGGAGGTAGGCCGCGAGGCTGATTGAGATGCCGAAAGCGCGTGGGTGTCCTTGGGACCTGCAAGAGAGGAGGCGTCCGAGGCCGCGTCGAACTCGTGCTTGCTCATGGCTCCGGCGCCGTTGAGTATCGGAGTATCGGGGGTTGCGTCAGAGTCTAGCTTCATCGCGGTCACCGCATTCGCGATTGGTTCTGACTGACGGTCCGCGTTGTCATGAGGGGACATGACGACACGGACGGTGCGCGCAAACGATCAGAGCCCAGCTGGGGACTGCGCTGTTATAGGATCGGTTCCCAGCGCGTGGTGGTTGGTGGAAAGAGGGTGTTCTGGATTGCGGAATAGGTACCGTAAAAGAAAAGAGAACAAGGGAACCTCGAAGATGAGATGCAAGGTGGGCAAAGGAGAAGACAAGAAGAAGAAAAAAACGATCAAACAAGAAGGATAAGAGGCTCAAAGGAGGGTTCGCAGTAAGCTGGAGAAGAAAGATGGCGGGCAGAATAATTGGTGCGAGAAGAGCAAGAAGCAGTGAAAGTCGCAAGCCGAAGCAGCAAATCGTCCACGTTTTCCGCGGGTGCCAAGAATCATCGATGAATCGAGGACTCAAGCCATGTAAGGGAGATATTTAAACAATGGTTCTCTCATTTTTCCTCTGGCACATGCAATCTTTCCCTTTCTATCTTGTGCCTTTCTCACTTTCTCTTAATTCTCTGGCTTACAAGGAGACTTCCTCATCTACCTCCCTCCCTACCCAACCTTTCAACTCCCTTCATCTTGAACCATTCGCCATCTTCTGGGTCCATGCCACACACACAATCTGGAGAGACCAATCCTCCTCACGTTCTTTTTTCCTTTTCTCTTTCTTTCACGGTCGATTTCCTTCAGAAGATCAAGATAATTCCTCTGAGCTCATGCTCTCGATAACAAGATGAGTAACGAGCAACACTTCATGTTCCTGTCGGACAAGCCGGGCTCATAATGCGTGTTTCGAGCGGAACAACCTTTTCACATAGTGCTCTTACAGGGCCTCATGTTTTGTTTCTCCGATCATCTGATAGCATCGGTAGTTATCCTGTCGAGATTCATGCTTACTCAAGCTCCTTCATCAGCAACATCCTC